GTTGGCTGAGAGTAGGTCTGTTATTACCATAGACTTAGTCCATGTAGCAAAGGCGTGACCATGAGACTTAGACGGTTTGGCCTCGAATTAGTCACCGAGGCGCAAGGGAGGGCGAATAACGCCTCGAGTAGCACAGATGGGGTGGCAGGGGTCGAGTGAAATATGTGAACCAGGGAGAGGGCAGACGGATCCTACGGAGCAAGTGAGAGACTGTGGTAATACCTAAGGAAGGAGGACTGCGTAACAATATGGCAGACTGATAAACATTGCCAGCACAAGGGTGAAGGGAGTGAGAATGACAGCGTGAAGTGACAAGGGTTTTCATTAATTCCGCTCAAAGTAGTACACCACACTACATCGAAATAGGCACGGTATAAATTGTAACAGTGAAGGCGTGGTAGGAGGATATAGGAAATGTGAATAACCTAGGGCAGAAGGGGAGATGCCACAACTGTTTAGCACACGTATAGTCAAAGGATCGACTTCACTTGTATCTTTGACGAGTTGTAATATGGTGCTACGAATGGTAAAACTCACTGAATATGCTGGCGAAACGTCTGTGAATGTACCACGTCCACGGTCTGACTTTGGAAATGTTCGTGCATTCAATCGACTTCAGACTAGGTGCTTTCCTCTAAGTCTTCCTACCAATATGACCAACCTGCGAAAAAAAGGTTAACGAAAGGAGACTGCGACCATACAAAAGGCCACACCATCTTGGTCTTTATACCTATGATCCTTCATAATGTTTTTCATTCTTTAGCAAATCAATATGGATTACATATGTAAACACTTTTGTCGTATTATTTTCGATTTGACCCTTGTAAGACTGATTACATTGCCATGCTAGTTAATCAATGTAAACGTTTTTCCTTTAACTATTTTATTGACCGTACAGACAGTCCCTTTAGATTAATGCTTCTTCTTAAGTAAACCTTCTTAGTAATTTTCTGGTTAGATTAATAATCCGTATCCTGGGCTCTATACTCTTGTTCGGCTCTAGTCTACTTTTTGCCATGTGTTTTTTATATAGGTTTTATTT